TTGAGTCGCGATTTTGTTGATCACTCTTATCGTCACCTTTTTGTTCAACGCTTCTATGGATTGACTCACTCTTTGTGGACCAACTCTTTGTCGCTACGATTGGATCAATTGAATGGCGAGACATACGGATCAGATGGCAGTCATATAAAGACTGAATGCGATGTCACCGAAACTGATGCCACAGATGGACAACAATTAACCGTCAAATCGATTGAAAAGACATACGATTTGAATGATAAACGAGTGGATAAGGAATGTATTGTCCGACAAACGGATCCAACGATTAGACAAAGAGTTGGTCCACAAAGAGTGAGTCAATCCATAGAAGCGTTGAACAAAAAGGTGACGATAAGAGTGATCAACAAAATCGCGACTCAAAACACACCGAAGACTGCGATCGCAACTCAAAGCCAATCACAGGACAAGAAAGTGGTTTATTTGGTCGTAAACTCTGGTAACCAAATGACTGGACAAACCTCTGGAACCAGTGCTTCGGGACAACAATTAATGCTCGTTTCGTTAGGGAAAGTACTTCGATGTCATGTCATTGACTGTCAATTCAAATGCCATTCAATGGATTCATTGCAAACTCACCTTAAAGTACACGACAGGAGTTTTCAACCGCAACCGATGGCTGGCTTTGCGTCACTCAAAGAACAGCGCGAAGTGATTGACAAACAGTGTTACGACTCGACCACTAATTCATATCATTGCCGACAAACTGGTTGTCAGAAGCGGTTCCAGTTATACGAAAGTTTAGTTAAACACCTGAAGCATATTCATTGCGAACGGCTGTACATTTGTTACGACCCGAACTGTGGTAAGCGTTTCAAGAGATGTGATACCGTCCGCAACCACTATAATACCATTCACTCGGAGGTTAAGCCCCCGAAGCCGTTCGGGTGTCCGGTCGACGGCTGTGATCAACGATATCCGTCGGCGTCTTCATTGGCAATACATGTTAAGAGTCACGACAATCACGAGCGCCTGGAAAGGGATCGCCGGCGCCGAGAGTTGATCGATAAGTGTTACGACTCGACCACCGATTCATACCATTGCCGACAAACCGGTTGCGAGAAGTCTTTCAAGAACTATGAATGTCTTTATAAACACATGAAACAGACACACGTGGAAAGGGCTGTAATCTGCGACCACTCGGACTGCGATAAGCGATTCAAAAGACAGGACGTGATGAGAGAGCACTACAAGAGAATTCATGGAACCGTTCGTGTGATTAAGTGTCCGATCGGCGAATGCGGTCTCCAATACAGGCGACCATCGGAACTGAACCAACACATGGTTACGGCTCACCCGTCAGAGTATACCCTTTACTTAAGGGATAGACGCGCGAAACTATCGAAGGGTACGGGCTTTCGGTGCCAACACCCGGGCTGTGGCCGAGGGTTTAATTCACGTAATAATCTACTAAATCATAGGGCTCTCCACACCACCGAACCTACCATTCGGTGCCCGAAGTGTCCGCAACTGTTCCGCACGACAAACCTGTTATATAAGCATCAGGTGTCCCAACACAACAGGAAAGCGGGCCCATTGCGCAAAGACTACCGTTGCGAACGCCCCGGTTGTCAATACACGGGTACATTGGCTCAACTTAGAAGCCACACTACTCTTCATACGGGGGAAAAGCCATTTGCATGTGATTGGCCTGAATGTGGTAAACGGTTCCGATTGATGCCCGGATTGACTGATCACATGAATAATCATCAAAACATTAAGTCTTATGCGTGTCATTGGCCCGGATGTGAGTATAGGAGCGCTTATTCGGCCAATACTTTGAAACACAATAAACTCGTTCATCAAAAATAATGCCATCAATTGATTGTAATTGTTAATTATAATATTTGTTTTGTAATTTAATAAATTTTTCAATAAACTTGTTATAGTTTTACTGTTATAATTTTTAATTACGGTATATGTGATATTTAAATTCACTGCAAACTTAAATTTAAGCTCATTTTTAATTTAAATAATAATATATATATTAATAATTTTAATTGCAATGACAGTTGATTACAAGATAATCAATATTTTAAATTAATTTATAATTTAGATTTAGATTAGGGGGTAATTTAGAGACAATCCCTTAGATATTGTTATTATTATCAATGCTTTCGTTGTTTTGAATCTGTTTTGCATTTAATTGTGTTTTGAATTTAATTTAAATTAAAGTATTTTCTAATTAAATGTTTAAGAATTTATAAATTGTATGAAATTGTGGTTAAAATGAAGAGAAATAAAATGTCATTAAATATTAGTATAAATGATATTTTGGATGAATTAATGGCTGAAAACAAACGACTTTTACATGAAATCAAGTGTTTATTTGAATTGAAAACACATTTAATTAAAATTCACTCAAAATATGAATCATGAAATCAAGTGTTTATTTGAATTAAAAACACATTTAATTAAAATTCACTCAAAATATGAAACACTTATCGATTGTGAAGACAAACAACACTTCAGACTATTGTCTCTACGATTGGATCAATTGAGTGACAAACAAACTGAAGATACGAATGAATCACAAAAACCACAACAAAAGAGATTACAGAAGAAAACAACAAAAACACCTCAAAAAGTGGTGAAACGAGAAGACAATGATTTAGGAGTTGTTGTCACTAATGAAGACTCGGACGAAGAGTGGAGGCCATCGACTGCCAGTCGGACGCCTCGGAAGGGTTTGAAAGGGAAACGGCAGCCAATAGTCGACAAAACTCTGGCCGTCTATCAGTGCGATCACGAAGACTGTGACTATTGCACCCATTTGTGGCCAAATCTGGTCGCACACCGAAAAACACACGACAATATCAAGAGTGAAGCGACTCAAGTCGTACGGCAAGAGCCTCCGAAGCGCCGGTGCGTTGAGTCGACCACCGATTCCTATGTCTGCGATGAGTGTCAGCGAGGGTTCAAAGGAGAGGCCCATTTGCGGCAACACGTGATTCACGCGCACACAAAGCCGGACGTGCGCTGCGATTACGCCGATTGCGACAAACGGTTCAGAACACAGAACTCGATGAGAAGACATTGCGGACACTCTCATAAGGGCCACAAACGGCGCAAGTCGTCCACCACTACGACTGTGACTCACGTGTGTCCGCACGAGGGCTGCGACCGTCGGTATAAAATTAAACAGCAATTGGACCGGCATTTAGTCGCTCACCAAACGGTACGTCCGTTTGCCTGCGATTTCGAGGGCTGTACTAAGAGTTACGAATCGGCCAACGGTTTAAGAAGGCATCAATTGATTCACTTTAGCAATGGATCCGCTGAACAGCGCGAAGACTATCAGTACAAACGGCTAAAAGAGATGAGAAAGTTGTCGTCCAAGACATCGGAAACTTTTCGATGCGATCGCGAGGGCTGTGAGTATCGGACAAACGTTTACACGAATCTGACGGCACATCGGATGACGCACTACAACGCGGCCACAGAAGCGAAGCGAGTGCTGCGTCGGGATCTGAAGAGGCGTTGCTATGACTCGGCCACCAATACCTACGTCTGTCATCACATCGGGTGTCAGAAAGTGTTCAAATTGTTGGATCAGTTGCGCGGACACGTTATCGTTACCCACAGCCCGCGCAACATTGTCTGTGATTACGCCGATTGCGGCAAAGTCTTCAAATCTAAGAAAGCGTTGAGAACGCATTGCCAGCAAAATCACGCCATTCGGCAGTTTGTGTGTCCACACCCGGACTGCGGCCGTCGATACCCATTGAATTATCAATTGAAGGTACATTTGGAAACACACGTAACGGAGCGATTGTTTGCTTGCGATGTCGACGGCTGTCACAAGAGATTCAAGTCGGAGAAGACCGTTAAGAACCATCAATTGACTCACAATACAAAACCAACCGTTAAATGCACTGTCGATGGATGTACTGAACGATTCTTAACCCAGCATTTCATGATTAGACACCGCATATCTGTCCACAACTTTAAGCCCTACGACACGAAAAAGAACACGTTTACGTGTCAGTGGCCGGGATGTGAGTACACGAGCCATTATAAGCACCGGTTGGACACACATCAGAACAGCCATACGGGTGAGCGGCCCTTCATCTGCGAGTGGCCCGACTGTGACAAAGCCTTCACAGATCCGAGTGGTTTGCGGACACATATGAATATACACCAGAATGTGCAGCCATTCGCCTGTCAATGGCCCGGATGTACGTACAGGTCATCCGATCACTCCTCCAGATATAAGCACTACAAAAAAGTTCACAAAAAGTGATTTACTTTTGTTTTGATTGTAATTACAAACTTTGAATTTGTTTTCATATAAACTATTAATTGATGTTTTATTTTAATCAATTTATCCTCAGTTTTCGTGTAATTAAAATATTTTCGGTATTAAATAAATTATTTAATTTTGAAATAGATTTATGAATTTCATTTATAATAATTTATGCAAACATAAACAGTCCATCAAAAGTGATTTAATTTTATGATTTTTAAGTCATTTTTAATATATTTGAAATTTTTTTTAATTGATTTTAATACGGATTCTTACTGTTAATTAATTTATTCATTAATTTAACTATAATTTGAATTTAAAGTTTGTTTGACAATCATTTCTATCATCACTTCATGTCTTGGAGACCATGTATTGTATTGACCACAGAATTGAGTTTTCGGTTCATATCTCCAGACGTTGTCTTCACTATCTGTTGACTGATAATGATATCAATGGATAATATGTGTCCACAACTGGAATCACTTCAAGTGTTGATTACAATTAAATATTATTAATTTTTAAAATTATAAAAAAGTTTTAAATAGTTATTAAAAATTTTATTGAAAACAAATTTAAGTGAAATTTAATTAATTTTTTTATCATTTATTACAAAAAGAGTTGAAAAAATACAATTCAATTAACAATAGTTTTATAAATCAATAAATTTTAAATAAAATTTTTAAAAATTCGCAAATTTTTCAAATATTTTCTATCATTTGTTGTCAACAAAAAGGAGAAACACTTTGAAATCGTCTCTTCACTCAAACATCAGTCAAACACATCCAATGGCGGCGTTTGTGAACTGTCTTAACGGCCAACAGGTCTCGAAGGGGACCGACACTTACCCTAAACCCATGGGCTGAGGGACCAGAGGTTCCAATCGCTACCCGAACCCATGGCTTCAGGGATAACAGGGTGTCGACCCCTACCAGTGGTGGCCAACCAGTGGTCCAAACAGTGGACTCCAAGTGCTCAAGAGTGGGCCGATGCAAGTGTTGGCACTCAAATGTCGACTCAAGCATAGGGTGTGGACCACAAGCAGAGCACAGAGCGATCGGTGCGAACAGCGCTTCCAGTCTGGGGCCCAATTGGGGGCACATTTAGAGCCAGTGGTCGACACAACCCATCACTTGCCTGACGGCCATCGGCTCATACCAGGGGTCGGCGAAGACGGCCGTCGGGAGTGAAGCTCAACGCGTCCCACGCGGGAAGACTCCCGACATTCAAACACTACTCACTACTGCCGTCGGGAGTGAAGCGATACGCGTCTCGAAAGATGACTCCCGACAGTCAAACACTAGTGGCGACCGAATAGATGTCCGCCTCATCGGGTCGGCGAAGAGTCGACTGACGGTCGGGAGTGAAGCTAAACGCGTCCCTCAGGGGAAGACTCCCGACATTCGGACACTACTGCCGATACGCGTCCCGACGGATGACTCCCGACATGACTGGACTTTAGGCGACCGTCGATCGAGCGGTCAGTGTTTGTGGCACTGAATCTGGCGTTCAATCGCTGCCGCAGTTGTGGTCGACTCGAGTTCTGTCACTCACGACAGGCTCTGCACCCGAGACCACAGAATCGGTAAACGAATGCCAAATGAATCGACAGATTCTTCTGCTGTGCGTAAAGTTCACGCTTTTTAGTCCAATACTCGCGTGAATTGTCGGCACGTCTTCTAAGTGTCAGATCGCGAGACACTTCCCGATTGAATAAATGCCGGAACCAATCGTGTGGTGCACTTCAGGGGTGACTCACAGCCAAACCAATGGCCGCAACCGTCGGTCGAGCGAACTCTTAGTGTTTGTGGCACTGAATGTGGCGTTCAATCGCTGCCACAGTTGTGGTCGACTCCAGTGCTGTCACTCACGACAGGGTCTGCAACAGAGACCACAAAATCGGGAGACGAGTGCCAAGTGATGGCCGACTGGAAGCGATGGCTACTCCGGGAAGTGGTGTTTCGCTGGTGAGCGCCGACTGTCACCTAAGATCAGGCGCTGACACCCGTCGGGAGTACCGCGACGTTAAACACGAGTCCACTGGTCAGAGGTCTTACCATCACCCGAGTCACAGCCTCTGACTGTATTCCCGACAACTGTCCCGCCGATGGACTGTCGTTACCGAAGGCTAACACCTTTGAGCGGACCCTCATTCTAGGCAAGTGAGCGGTTGAAGCGCTGACTCTCCCGGGAGTCAGTGTGGAGGCGAAGGTGGGATCAGTTGAGGTGATCGGATGACATAACATGTGACTCCAAAACGAGTTGATTACACCCAAGTATTCCCATCTTCAGTGTATAAAAATGATGACAATTACTTCACTTATTCCCAAATTGCAGCCCAAGTCTAAACTTGTTTGGCTTCTACTCCACGCTAAGTGGGAATCGGAGAAGAAGTAGTGGTCATCGGGTAGTGCGGGTCGGCTGGGAGTCGACTGGCGTCGGGAGTGAAGCTAAACGCGTCGCTAACGGATGACTCCCGAAACCCAACCATAACTGGCGTCGGGAGTGAAGATATACTCGTCTCTAACGGATGACTCCCGAAACCCAAACACTATTCATCTTCAGGTTTGTGTCTTTTGTGTTAGAATTAATGAATCGGGCGTTCAATCGCTGTCACAGTTCTAGTGATGTGTCCCTCTCTTGTGATGGTCTGTCCCTCTCTTGTGATGGTCTGTCCTCTAGTGATGGTCTGTCCTCTAGTGATGGTCTGTCCTCTAGTGATGGTCTGTCCTCTAGTGATGGTCTGTCCTCTAGTGATGGTCTGTCCTCTAGTGATGATAAATTTAGTAATCATTTAAATGTTATATCAATTGAAACATAATTTTTACAAAACATTTATTCAATACTTTTGTGAATGAATTGAGTGTTGAGTTTGGATGTGATTCTGGCC